TGGTAATTAACCCGCGGTACTACTTTAAGTGGTCAACGGTGAAAAAACGTTTGGTTCTTGGGCTGACGCACGGGCTCTCCTCCCCCCGCGCAGCGCCCCCCGAGCTCCAGATCGGGAGGGGAGCTCCCGATCCAGAGCCCCTCGCCGCCCCGCTGCCTTCGCGCTCGGCCTCGCCACCGGCCGCCGCGCTGTCGTCGACCATAGCCGGACCTCCACGCCTCGCGCCCCCTCTTATGATTGTCCCTCTTCTCCGTTTCCTTCCCCTCTGTTTCTCTCCTCACACAAGGATTGCCTCTCCCCTTCTACAGGAGCAGCCATGGCCACCAATGACCGCGCCTCACCCGGATCGAGTCAGAATCGACCTCCTGCAGCCATATCCGCCCCATCCCGACCTCGCCGACCTTCCTCCCGGTCTTCGTCGTGATCCATGGCCGGTCTCGAAGACCAGCGCCTCCCTCCGAATTTTAGTAAGTTTTGTATGTCCGTCCCACAATCCCATTATATCTAGCAGCAACCGCCGCCGCCAGCAGCAGCAGGCGCGGCTAGAGATCCCCTCGTGGGCCGGCGCCGGCCAATGAAGGCCCCGGCGCTGGAGGTGCTGCCGGCCGAGAAGCCCGTGCGCGATGACGATAAGCGCGAGGGCGTCGCCAACTTGGACACCATGCTCGCCTTCCCTGAGGACGACGAGCACGACAAGGCAGCGGCGGAGGACGAGGCCAAGGCCAGCGCGCAGGACAAGGTGAGCCGCTATTCAGTTGGTAGGACGGATGGCCGACCGAACCGGTGATATGTCGAGCTTTATTGAGATTTTGTGATTGGAAGCTTACTCTGTTTTGGCCTACAAATGTAGGGACAGGGAAGACCACCTTCATGCACCGTCTGGTGTGTCATATGCAAGCATCGGCGAATATGAGGCGTTATGTGCTCAACCTTGACCCTGCGGTGGTGACACTGCCATTTGGAGCCAACATTGATATCCGTGATACTGTGCGTTACAAGGAGGTGATGAAAGAGTACGGACTTAGGTCCCAATGTTGGCATTCTTACCTCACTCAACCTGTTCTCAACCAAGTTTGATGAGGTACACATCTTATATGCATCTCGAATGTTTAGAATGGTAATGTGCACTACTTACGTACTCTGTTAGGCTATAAAATTCAAGGCAGTACAAACGTACAACCACTCAGTAAACTGGGTTGTTCCATTTTTGCGGGTAATTGATTCATGTAATTCCATCATTCAATGTAAGATGTTGCAGAAATTGTGCTTAATTTATAGTGTGATGCAGAGTTTGTAAAAAATTATTTGATTCTGCTCTGAATAGTGACAACTTATTTTTGCAAAATTGTATATGTATGCTACATTTATGGTATGTGAGACATCTTTTCCCCCCTCTATCATGTGCCATTCAGCTAATAGATGTCCAATATTCATCCTTGAAGGTTATATCTGTTATTGAAAAGCTAGCAGACCAACTGGATTATGTGCTGATGGACACCCCAGGGTAGATTGAAATCTTTACTTGGTCGGCTTCAGGAGCTAGCTATCATAGCCGAAGCTTTTGCTCGACATTTCCAAAGGTTGTAACATATGTGGTGGACACCCCCAGGTCGACAAACCCTGTTACCTTTATGAGCAACATGGTGTAAGCGTGCAGTATCCTCTACAAGACCCATTTGCCTTACGTGCCAGATGAATAAACAAAGCACCATTATTTTGCTGGTAGAGAAAACAAAGCGCCATGATAGGCAGCTCCACGGTGTTGATATGATACATCAGAAAATAATACAGTGTGTTGGCATCCCAAAATTTCGCTCCAGATGACTCATTTATTCAACTGAAAAAACACTCACTCTAAACAACATCACCATGAAATTATTTGATCTGGACCGTGTCGTGTCGGCTCTGATTCAGTTGCAATTGAGTTTTGTGTTGTTATCAAGGAAGAATATTGTTCTAACTTATGGTGACCAGGTTAGCTAAATTTTGATCAATGACTAGCTATTTATGCTAACTGCCTGCTTACTTTGGGGAGTGTGGATGACTGTCATTTTCTATGTGCTTACTCTGCTTGTTATCTGCATGTATAATGTTCTTTGCACGAGTATGATTTTCTATGTTGTGATAATAAGAGAGAAACTGTAGGTGCCTTGCACGATGGTTGGTCTACATTGATGGAGATGATTGTTTAATCAGGGTGTTTCCACCCTTGGCCTTCAGTACAACTCAGACATGAGATATAGTTTTAACCCTCCACCTAACATAGATATTTCGTGTGTTTTCTGAATAATAAAAGTATCAAGCATTTGGTTTACTGGTTGTAATTGCTGTTTCAGGTGAACGAGTTGAGCAGAGTAATATCCGAGCGAAAATTTTGACGGGGGGGTGTCTTGGTTGTGCTCTCATCTTGGTTGTGCTCTCAGTTATTTTCCACACATAAAACTTGAAGTGTAGTTGTTCGCATATTCCCCATTTTCTTATTTTCGCTTGAGAAAATCAAACAATGCCTACAAATACATAGAGTTTTGCATCTCATAGTTAGTCCATCTCATGCACCCATGCTTCTGTTACACGGAGAACCACTTTTATCAGTTTATTCAGCGTTTTAATTAGCATATGTATCACTGTGGATACCGGATACTCTAATATGCTTTCGGCCAGGTTATTTTGCGAGGGTTGTGTGCACCGAACCCCATTTCTCTGGACCAATGTGTTCTTCTGGCCCTTTTCCAGCAACTGACATGCGACATAGCCAACTACATATCCCTGAAGCTTCAATGGATACAAAAGATTTACAGAATCTTCACACGTAGGATTTTGTTTATATCTCCAACTCTTTAATGTTCGATTACCTGGTACTCCTTGATTGTGCAGTTCTCTTAAATATTTTGGACCACTAAGCATTTTGGAAACTGTAGTGGTGGTATATGCACAATATATCTAACAACATAAGCATGAAAAATTGAAAAAAAAAGTATAATTTCAGGTAATTTGTGTATCGTACTCAACCACATGTGCTGCTTTGGGTTGTCTTTTTAGTTGATAAAAAAATTCAAACAATTTTTGTAATAATTCCGACAATTGCACAAGCCAGTCATTCCGAGGTTCAGTATATTTTTAGCAGAATAATGTACTTGACTAGATGCTACTAGCGTAAATCATTTAAGTTTATTGATCTTCTAGATGAGCTTTTGTGAAACCATGTATCTGTTTGTAGAAAAAATAGTCCAACATGAAAATAATATTTTCAAGTATGTCGCATTTGTTTTATTTTCCTGCAAATTGATATCAAGGTGAAGGACAGATACATCACTATGGATTATCTACATATATCAGCAGCACTTGCTTTTCAAATTGGCGAAACATGGCTTGCCTATTTCATTGTCAATTACTCAACATTTCAAAATGCTTGAAGGTTTTAGTATACTCAGTGCCCTTTTATAGAGTTGCAATGAAATTCCTGTTAGATGTTAATGTCCTTTAGGAATTGTGCATTGAAATATACTCCCTTCGTTCCCAAATATAAGTCTTTCGGGAGATTGCAACGAGTGACTACATACGGAACAAAATGAGTGAATCTATACTCTAAAATATGTCTACATACATCCTTATGTTGTAATCCATTTGAAAACCATTGACTGCTTATCTGTCCTTCTATAGCTTCTACTTGAAGAAATGCTCCAAGAATAAGGCCACCATCAATATATTTGTTCATTTACGGGTAAAAGTGTCTGCACGTGAATTATCACTTTTTATTTGTCGAGAAGTTTCTTACCTTTGTGTTGGTCAATAATTTTTATGTAGATTCTGATATTATATTTTTAGCTAAGATGCATTAGATCATTGTAGTATAGTCGAAGGGGATGTTATAGATGATCATTCGTGTACTATTTGTAGAGAACATATCTCCAATTGTATTATTGATAAATGAAGGAAATTTTTGGCACTTGCTCCATAGCGAAGCACTAAAGAGGCATGTGGGGACACGTGCATGACTCACCCCCCACTCCCCCCCTCCATTAAACAAGCCCACAACATTACAAGTCAAAAGCGAGCTGGAGTATTGTGGCAGTATATGGATTTGATGCAGGAATAGATCGGTGTATAGACTAGGTGCAGGAGTAGCTCAGAGAGGTTGACCCTCATATCCAGCTTGACAAGATTAATTTTTTTAAGTTTGAAACATTCCCCTGAGCAGTTTAATGACAAGTGTGTCATGCGGTGGTTGACCTCATCACCTTGGAATCGATCATGTTCCAACGTGCTTTGATCAGGTAAATAACACAACCATCGTTGTCAAGGGCTGAATGAAGGATAAGTGGCAACATGGGCAGGCTATCGTGTTGACGTAGATGTCATGGACGAAAGGATCATGTAGGCATGCTTTATTGGGTTCGAGGGAGTACTTTTTTCTCCCGTTGCAACGCACGGGCATTTTTGCTAGTAATAATAAAGCACGGATTGGGTCTCCGGGTTCACCGTCGCGGCGTTTTTCAGAAAAATCCTACTGTTTTGGGTATTCAACGCGCAATACTCGGAATAAGTTAACCCGGACCAATACAACCGAGAAAAAAGAAAGAAAATCAGCCCTCGCACAACCCTGCCTCCCAATCCCCGTCTCCACCTCCTGCCTCGCGCGCCGCCGTGCGCCGCCACCGCCCACCACGCCGGCACGTTTACCCCTGCACGACCGGCTACACGCCGACGACGCTCGAGCTTGCAGGGGCTGGGGGCAGATCCGGAGGCGAGGGTCGGAGGTGACGACGAGGAAGGCCTGAGCACGGGCGGATCCATGGCATCCGCGGCTCCTAGGCACAAAGGGGACGGTGAGCCGGGGGAGAGAAGAAGGAAAAAAGGAGGGGTTGTGCGGCGACCTAGCGAGGAGCTCGCTGGAGCTGGGCGAAGGCGGACTGGCGCGGGAGACGGAGGGGTCCGGCGCGGCGGCGAAGTCCTTGCAGGTGGAGGCAGGCGTCGAAGCAGAGGACGAGAGGATCCCCGGCCTAATTCTGGCGTGCACTCAGCTTCCCCGATCCATCCCCTCCTACCCATCCGGCCCTTCCTCGATGGCCCGCATGCGACGAACCCCTACGCGGGGTAAGAAGGGGGATCACGCGAGGTGGAGCACTCCAGCCCCCTCCTAGCCCTACCACGGTGAGGCCTCCTTTCCCTCTCTCCCTGCCTGAGCCAGCCATAAGCTGGCGGCGCTGAGGTCGATCTGCTCATGCACACACGGTTGCTGTGACATGGTGACAGCCACGCCCCACTTTTTCTTCCAGTTCCTTGTTTTTGTGGTGGATGCATCCATGATTATTTGTTTCAACTATTGATTTTCAGTTTAGTAAATCAAACCCATTCCGATGCTGCTCTTTTACTTGTACAAATAAACTATTGTTCGCTAAACTGAGCAGCTAGCTACTGGTGTCTCAAAGATTAAGGGCAGGTTGGTACTTATGGTCAGGCCTGCCTCAAGTAGAGGAAGAAGAGGAGGCCTGAAAGAGAGAGGCCGCAAGGTAGAAGCCTTTTGATTAGGAGGCAGTCCAGCAAGTTGGACGAACTGCTGATAAAGAGATAATTCTATTCTGAATTTTTGTCTGATAAGCAGGATTGGATCACGGATGTATGTTGGCTATGTCTCTCACGGTGTGTGGAACCAGTTATTGGTTAGTTTCATCTTGTTTGTTGACATTGATGGTGTTGTCCATTGGTTTAACAGAAATGTTTTGAAGCTAAAGATGAAGAGGAACTCGTGGAAGAGGAAAAGAAATGACATGGTAGAAATTCATTCACACATATCAGGGTCATAGTGAGAGGATTGATCTGCTTGATTCGCTCCTGATGGTCGGTGGATTGTTTCTGGTAGGGCTAAGAGTTCTGTGAAGGTAAGATTTTGATCCAACCTATTAAGTAGTACCACACAAATTACAGGAGAATTTGTTGTTTGGTCCAACCTATAAAGGTGCCATATATGCTCAGTTGCTCACAACAATGCTAATATTAACAAGGTGAATAAACTCATGCTCTAGCGGAAGATATCCTTTATATTTTTGGGTTCACTGATTGTTGATTTGACAGGTGGAAAGCTCTTGCATGACTTCAGCTTCCTGAAGGTCCGCTTAAACTGTTCAGGTTTTCTTCCCCATGAGTTTTTACTAGCCACATGTCAGATGGTGATAGTATGTTATACAACCTGTAAAAAAACATAAGATGTGTTCCCAGATAACATCTTTCCTCCAAAATAATCTATATATCATCTAGACTTGGTTAGTTGTAACTTTTGCTTTCTGTTCTTTCCACAAGCGTCTGTAGGTTCAAATGATAATTGTTAAATTTGGTACCTTAAGACTTTTTTTAGGGTGACCTTAAGACTTTTTAGTTGATTGCATCCTCTAGACCGGGAGGTATAATAGCATCTCCTAATTGTCTAATTGATGATTCAGAAAGCTCTGGCTCTACTCATGTATATCAATTTATATTCAGATTGTGAAGTACTCCTTCTATAAAGAAATATAAGAGCGTTTAGTTCTATAAAACATATTTATATGCAGTTATCCAACAAATTTATGTCCTAAAATCTTACAACTTCTCTTAAGCTGTATTTGATCATAACCTTGGCTTAAATGCAATTTAATTTCAACCTCAAATTTGGTGATCTTTTGAATGGGCACAACTGTGTCGGTAGAGGTTGACAGTTATGAATTTTGTGATAATCTTCGGTTATGCTGTTATATATAGCACTTTCCTGGTTATATGGTTCACATTCTCTGAGCCAATTCACAATGACCATTCCAGATTTGGGCCTTGCGTTTTAAAATTATTTTGTAACATTTTGGTTGATCTTTGATGCTGCTCCTTAATTTTTTTACATTGACTGGTGTAGAACTAAATGAGTGTTGCCATTCAAGGGAAGCCCCAAGCTTTAAAACCGTATATGAATGTTGTTAGCTTGGTCCTTCACAAATAAGTCCCTTGTTGTGTGTCATCTGTCATTGCGTATATCATCTGGTCTTTCTATTTTTCATTGATTTTTCTTCTCCTGGTGCACTGAATCTGCAAGGGCGTGTAGACGGCAGGATGAGCAGCAGCATACCGGTGGTAAGACAGGGCGTGTTGGCGTACGCGAAGCAGCCATGCATGAATCTTGGCGGCGGATGTTTGCTGGCCGTAGTGGCAGCATCAATTCAAGCTGGAAGGCGGGAAGCTGGCGTAGCAGGAACAACTGGTCGTCCATTAGGCATCAACCCAACTCCATTGTACTCCCTTTTCTTTCCATAACCAATTCCTTGGAGCAGACATGTGGGTACAGTTACGTAGCCTGAAGATTGTTTGCTTTTTTTTGGTTAGTTCAGATTTAGATTTCTTAGTTTTTGACTATTTGATCAATCGATCCATGTAGATCACATTGACATGGTTTGTCGAATGTACCTTTCAGCATTTACCCTGATTAGTTAAATGCCTAGCTGGTGATAAGAGGAAGAGGATGATCAGGAAAGCATGGCGTTGAGCGAATCAGTACAGGAAGAAAGCCCCTCCAGAAAAAAATAGTAGAGGAAGAAAGAGAGGAGCAGCAGTCAAGGTTGGGCTTGGTGGCCTCAACGCCTATGACCTCCTCTATGCCAAGCCTCGCATCACCTGGTTATTATGTTATCTGCTTCCATGGATTTACTGGCGTATAGAAATATGATTATCTGATGTATGACTTAGGTGAGTTCCCTCTTTATGTAACAAGGCTCTCTTTTAAAGTTGTTCGCTGTCCTCATTCCTCGTGATCTCTGAATCAGTATTTAGTTGATAATTGTGGCAACAAAGGATCGTTTGCAAACAAGGTTCTCACCCCTTATATTTATTTTGGCATGGAAAAGCACTGTGATTAAATCTGTTGAGTACGCCCTTATAGCAGACTAGCAGGAAGCTTCATATGAATGGACCTTGAATGTTGTTATTGATAAAGAACTGAATATAAGACACGATTACAATTATGTGAGGAAGCGAGCACCGATTATAAGGAGGTAGAGATGTGCATGGTGGAGCTAGTGGACAGTATGGTACAGTATAAGAGAACCGCGAATAGCCGAGTACCAACTGCAGCGGCTTGGCTGCGTCTGTAACTGGTAGCAATTCCGGGCCAGCAAGGCTAACGCACGCCAAGATGGAAAGCATCGACCACGACACCCCAGCAAGGCTAACGCGCGCCAAGATGGAAAGCATCGACCACGACACCGACATGTACAGCGCTGCCAGCTCCGATGGGAGCGGGCTTCCGGAGCATCACAAGGAGCTAATTAAGGAGCCACATTGCGTTAGTATTGCAGCACACCAGACATGATTAATTTTTCTATGAGCCAGGTTCAATCAATTAGTATTTTTTTTAGGTATTCTTAGTGCAAAAATGTCAAAAAAATGGATGAGCTACCAGGTAAAACCGTAACAACAGTCAACTACCAAGCCTTTTGAAAAAAATAGTCACAATTATCTTCCGTGTGCATGTCAATTTCCATGAAAATTGACGAGATTTGTGCGACATATAAGGAAAATCATGATTAATTTTTTTCCTGGAGCATTAAAACATCAATCTAAAAAACATTTTTTGTGCAAATTTACAAGTTCTTGAAGCATCATGAATATGTACACTTTCAAACAATCCATTTGGTACAATCAATTTTTTTTGTGAATTTAAATAAGAACCTTTTCCTTCGCTAAATAGCTTCAACATGGAGACTCTAAAAGAGTAGAACTATATTTTGCGACTCGCTGGACAATTTGGACGTGATAGTAAGAGAGAACCATGCAAGAAATAGGACGGAAACTTGACCGATAAGGAGGAAGGATGTCCAACAAAAATATGGTGATAACGCATGAATACTAGTGCTGGTTGACCGATTCAAAGGTTCCCGAGTAAAATGAATAGATACCAGACATAAATACTCTATGACATTTTTGCTACTGTTATTACATACCATACAATTACAAGCTCGAAAATGCTGTGAGAAACCGGCAACACAAAATCATATGGCAAAAACCTAGAAAGCCTACGCGTGCTCAGTACAAACATCATAGCTACACTACTATGCTTAGATCGCACATAATAGTTAGAAGTGGCTTGCATATAATCAAACAATAAGTTTGTGCATGAAATTATTTGTTTTGTAAAATTAATGATATAGTAGTTGAATGCATAGTATTATATAAATCATTGAAGTTTTTTTAAACAGAAATACGGTACCAGCGAGCTCCACATCGGTTTCGGTCTACCTAATCATATATCAACAACAAATTTTAACATATGCTCCCTCTTACCCCCTCTTTTTACATGTGAGGTAAGAAGGTAAGAGTTAATCAGACCATCAATTAATGATATCAATGGGTCAGACCTATTATATACTTTTACCTCTCATGTGAAAAGAGGAAGTAAAAGGGAGTTAAAACTGCTTTATATCAATGACACAGGGGAGCTGGAGTTTGAATTTGATGAATAAAGCAAAATAGGATCATGCAATCGGATTTGATGCTTTAGTTGAAGGTGCAATTGTGGAAACAATTAAAAGAAAGTAACCCGGGACAACAACTACATTTGTTTCATAGTGGGAATGGCAGATGAAACAATGCCACTTAATAAAAATATCACAACTTCATGGCTAAAGAGACTTGGAGAAGAGCAACGAAGTGAAAACAAAAACAATCTACATGTATTTAAGTAATATATCTACATCAAGGTAGCCCTCAATTCATACATTAATAGCTATAAATATACATTTCCTATTGAAGCTATCATATTTAATTAACGAATGTTTTCATGTGAGAATTCTCAAAAGTTCTTTTGTCTTTATACCACAACTGTTACTTGCAAAGTTGTTTAAGTGGTGAATTGTTTTTTAGGTTTCTAAGCATTTTTTTTTTTGTACCCGTTGCAACGCACGGGCATTTGTGCTAGTATATACATATATACCTATCTTTCCTTAATAATAAAACACGGATTGACTCCGTGGGTTTACCGTCACAAGGTGGTACTAATTTCAAACCCCTGTTAGTCTCTACTCCTAATGAACGACTCGGTGAATAGTCGTCCGGTCAATTTTCGCTGGTTTTTTTTTTGTCATACTCCCGCCACCTGTTTTTTTCGTCATCGTATACCGGTTTATTTTCGTCGTCCTATCGAAAACACCTCGAGGGAACCACGCCACGCCAACGCCATCGCACTCGCATCCTGCCGCCGCCGCTCCCTGCGCTACCTCGACGGAAGCCATCTCAAATCCATCCCTTCGCCGCCGCCCTCGCGCTCACATCAAGGATCGAGGCCTCCAGAGTATCCTCGATCCCCGCGTTACCCTTTCGCCGCCGCCGATCCCGCCGCCGCGGGAGAGGATGAGCTGATCTCCATGGCCAGATGAGGGAGGAATACGGGTGACGGGATGGATTTGGATCTCAAGGTGGGGAGGCCAACGTAGCCGCCCCTAGCAGAGGATTTGGATCTGATGGATTTGGCTGCGTCGACCAGCAGAGGACAGCCGCCGGCTCGGCTCCTCCACCACGAAGCAACCTCCTTCCACCCCGTAACCGCCGTCCGAAACCCTAGCAATCGAGCCCCACCCATGGCACCCTAGGTCAGATCCCTTCCTTCTTCCTCTGGTTTTCTTCCTTGTTCCTGTGATGCGTGAGTGAGTGAGTGATGTGCAGGCGGCTTCTTCTTCCTCTGACCCCTGCGTGTCTCTCTCTTCACTTGTCTCTAGGTGGTACAGCGGCCAGAGGAGAGGAGGTGGAGCAGCCATCGCCTGG